TGTCCATTTCAAAATAGAAGAAGGGTGGTTGTTTTTTGAATAACTTTTTAATGGAAATAGCTATCGATCTGCGGTTTTCACCATTCAATAGAGGCAGGCATTCTGCATCTTCCTATAGATGATTCAAAATGTCATCTTATGATTCTGATGAGCGGTCAATGAAATTCAAAGCAGTACCTGAAGTCCTATAAAAGTTGTAAGGAATTTCAATTGTAAGGGGTGCATTAGATGCGCCTGCTCAAGAGCTACAATTCTACACAAACCCGAAATTTTTATTATAAACAATAGATACATTGTTCAACTTCATCGATGACTTTGGACATCGACTTTTTTGTCCGTTGGAATCCTGAAACATGAGCGAGAAGATTTTCTTGAGTATTGTTCGAATTTAACCGTTGAAGAATATCGAGCTGTTCGATTTCAGTGAGTTCAAGAAGGAAATACTCCAGTAGAACACCATGATCGACGAGGCAATTTTTCTGTTTAGAAGTCAATCAATGGTTTTCGATCAATGGTAAAGCACGAAGACTTACTTTCCGAATAGTTCACAAACAGTTCGAATGAATGAGATTAGAACTCATTCAATCTTTTTATATCACGCCTAGAATGAAGAAAATCAACGATTGATTCAACGAACTCATCGACGAGCTTGATAGTGATACGATAGAGTCGAATCCAAAGAATTGAATAACCAATTGTTTCCATGTACATCTCGTTTCAGAATGAAATCAATCAAGATTACAGTGAATTTTTCAATCGATTTCAAGGATGTATCTCGCCATTGACAATCTTCATCAAGCATTTTAAACAATAAAAATAGTTCTTCTTTTGACAAGCATTTTTTCTAGATCGATCATTTCATGATTGCAATAGTAGTAGAACTTGACATTTTGTGGATGAATTCACTCTCAATCGAAATAGTGTTAATAAAATACATTAACGAATCTCTGATAGAGTACGTCGATTTCAGAGTGTCATATCTGGTTTGAAGTTCTTGTCTAATCATCATTTCGATAGTTTAAATGAAAATTTGATCGAAGATTTTGCGCACATTTCGATTTTATCTTTCATTTTAAATGTTGATTTTCGGCGAGAATATTGACCAACGTTTCATAACATTTGATTAAAAATTTTTGTTACAAACAATCTTAACTCTTTCGTTTGTTAACAGACCCATGTCGTGGATATCGAAAATTACTAATACAACAATAAGTTGGCAGTGATTGACAGAAAAGTAGAAAAAATATCTTCAAGTTATTTTGGGTGGATGGAGGTATGTTCAGATTTCCGAAAAAGGAAATTACAGAAATTTCCGAAGCTTCCATCAACTCGATAACTACATAGCAAACCAAATGAAAATATTTTGGAAATATTGGAAAGTTTAGAAATTTTAGAATTTTCTGTAATTTCGGAAATTTCGCTATGTATAGAATTTTGGAAATTTCAGAAATTTCGGAAATTATATAATTTTGAGAAGTACCAAACAATTTAGAACACAAGTGCTTGAAAATTCCAAAACTTCCAAAATTTCCTTTTTCGGAAGTCTGAACACTGCTGCCTTGACGAAGAATAAAGAGGTAAAGAATTTTCTCACATGTCAATAAATATGACGATATCCATAATTCTTTGTTTCATCACATTATTCGTTCAGTGTCGACCGAAATGCTTGCTTACCGCTGCCGTTGAAAAATTGCGCATTGTATTGAACATAAATAGTAACAACTGATTTAGTATGCCAATAGAACACAAAAAGCATAGCAAATTAAACTGATCAATATCAAATGTACGACATATGGTGCCCTCGAAATTTTTGCAACGGATCAAATGTGAGATTGATACAAATCGTTCTTTATCAAACTACACCTTCAGTTTTTTTTCCAAAAAAAGTCCATACATAAAAATAATTGACACAATGTGACCAATCCAAACACAAATCAACTGTAGTAACTTTTCTCGAAAATAAGGCTGAGACCGGAAATTCTGATTCAAGCAGAAAAACTATCTCCTGTCCAACAACAATTAATATTGAGGAGAGCCTTAGAAAATGTGTGACGACATTTGACGCCATCAAGTGCATTGGTATACTGGCGTGCTGATATTGATACGATGATTCATTCCTATCAGAGGACATATTGATTGAAGAAAATGAAGACATGCTTCAACTCACTCATGTTTCTCACATATAAAAATATTGGAATTAGTATTTGATTAAAAATCGATTATTATCGTACGCTTGCAATCGATTTGTATTCGTTTTTTAACCGATTTTAATCAAAAATAACCGAAAAAAATCAAAGCTTCACTGATTATTACGATTAATTTCGAGTAAAACTTGATGAATAAGTGAATGATGATTTATGCAAACTGACGAAAATCAATTGAAGATTTTTTCATTAATCACGCAGGAAAACCAGTTGAAATCGATGTTTTTTGTACAATTATTAAGGGATTAATCGTAATAATCCATGAAATGTTGATTTTTTTCGGTTATTTTTTTTTATTGAAATCAGTTAAAATATGATTAGAAATCGATTAAAAGCGTATGATAATGATCAATTTTTAATTGATTTCATCTGATTTTGACTTTAACTTTTTTTTACATGTGTTATAAATATTTTCAATTCTAATTAAAAAAAATGACTTGGATTATTGTTTAAAGAACATAAAAAATGAGGGATGTAATTAATGCAATAGTGGCTACCGAGTTCAGTATGGTGATCACATTTGTATTTTACTAGGTCTTCAATAAAGTAATATCAAGTAATACTTTGTTTCAACATGTCGCTGTGGACCCTATGGATCACGTTCTTCTACAGGGTGTCCCAGAAATAACCTACCAAAAATAAACTCGTTTATATCCACTGTATTGCAGTCAATTGAGTTGCTTTTTTTTCTGATAGTAGAGGAGACTTCCAAGTTTTTATGCGCAAAGATAAAATTTACAAATGATGTTGAAAATCATTATTATTGACTTCAATACCAAATCGAAGCCTTTTCCGGTATAGTAAAACAATATGCAACGTTTTTTATTTAGTTACTTCAATTTTTTTCGTAATTTTCGATTTTAAATCATCCAGATCTTCAACTCTTGATTTATAAACATATGTTCGGACGTTTTCTTATAAAATGAAGTGTCACAGCGTAAAGTTTGACGAGTGTGAAGACTATGAAATCGTTCACCTCTTGCAGTTTATCAATTATCAATGTTTCCATCGTGTTGAGGATCAATTGCTTTGTAGAAATGCATCGTTGACTGTTGTTTTTTTGAAAAACGTTCAAAAGAAGGTCTATCGAGCAAGGGTGAAAAATTTGGATAGTTTAAAGTGGAAAATTACGATAAAAGTTGAAGTAACTAAATAAAAAACGTTGTATAATATTTTACCATAACAGAAAAGGTCTCTATTTGGTACTGAAATCAATAATAATGGTTTTCAGCATCATTTGTACACTTTATCTTTGTAAATAAAAAAATGGAAATCTCCTCTACTATCAGAAAAAAAATTAGCAAAATTGGCTGAAATGCAATAGAGATAAACGATGTTCTTTTTGATTGGTTATTTCTGGGACATCCCATATAAACGGACAAAGACTAGAACGCTGCATCGAGCTCCGATTTCGGCAGAGTCGAAATGATTGTGAAAAATTATTTTCGGAGTCAATGCCGAAGGTGTGTTCGTAAAAAAATCAAGTATTTTTACTCTTATTTAGTACCAACTTTATATTTCATATGTTAAGTAATGAGCAAAAATAAACCAAATCAATAAGTTTCAAGAGACAAAAAAACACCAGAGAAACATTCTCATTAACAAGTAGCATAGAAAGACGTGTATATGTTCGTAAAAAAATTTTTTGGAATTTCTTCGAGTCAAACTTTTTGACTTCGAAGGACTCTAACGAAGATTTACATAGTTGTTATGTTTTATAATTTTATATGAAATAGCATTCAACTAATTGCTTAAGTGTTATTTGAAGAAGTTCTCACACCATCTTATGTGATTTGCCACATGATAAAATATTTCTGTATAAGTGACCGTTTCAAAAGATTACAATACTGTCTAAATGTTAACTCAAGTTAACTTGACATTGTACGATATTTAAAGATAATTCTTTTCAAAGTATCCTTGATTAAAATAATAATTATTAAATAAAAACATTAACACATTATCATGATAATATTGATTATATGTCATAGAGTATATTTAGTTAATTTCTTCAGTTATAATAAGACTGTCTTTGTCTCAACAGGAAAGTTCTGACACGTTAATACTTATGTATTTATAGAAACATTATTAAAATAAATAAATATTGATAATCTACTTATTAGAATCATTCGATACAATAAAATATTATGTAATATATGTTTCTAAAAAATAAATATTCAATATAAAAATCCAGAATTTATCATTAAATAAAAAATTCTGGATTGAAAAATGCATATAAGAATGGATTGAGACATGAATTTAAATATGAAAAAGCATGTGCAATAACTCTTATGATATCAAGTAGTAAGGCATGATTATCATAAAGTTCTTCTAACATTTGTCGACAATTGAGTAATTCCAATATATGAATTGGAAGCCAACAAATAGCAAATGCACATGTTAATGAAATTAATGTCCGAGTTATATGACGGTGTTTTGATTGAGCATATTTACGATTTAATAGACTATTCTATTTTTCAAAATATAAAATATATACAGAAAATTTCTAATATTTTGTTTTTGTTAAAACTTACTCCATAACGAGTTATTCTTAGTGAACTTTTTCTCATTTTAACAAATAATTTTGTATAAGACAGAGCAATAATTATAAGTGGTAATAAATAGTAAGCACAAAATGGAAAAAAACATGAAGCAAATAATGGATGATGATTTGATATTGAACAATCATTTAATGAATTATTTTTGGTGTTTGATGATGATGAAGAAAGTGAAGTATAAGGAAAAACAAAAGCAATCGATACTATACAAATATTAAAAAGAGAAATAAAAATTATTTAAAATAATTATTGTTTATTTTACCAGCCCAAATGATAATACAAATAATACAAGCATTCAATGGTGTTCGCCAACTAGGACGTGGATGATGACTGGCTACATAAAGATATCGATCGATACTCATTGCAGCTAATGTATAACATGTTGTTTGAAGAAGAACCTTTAAAATTATATTAAATTATTTTATTCGATTATAAAATTGAACATTTTTCTTTGTTTTTTGTTTTTTATTTTAAAGAAAAATTTTATCTTCATATCCTTATTAATTAATTTGTAAATAAAAATTCAAAATCGTCTTTACGTCTTTTCTGTTCGTCAAAAACTGTAACACTAAAATATATTACTACTCAGGTCAATGATTCCAGAGAACGGATACGATCTGAACCGGCAAGAAGATGCGGAAAAAGTCATCATATCCTGCAAGAAAGTACAGAAAATCCCGGGAAGATGGAAGCAATATTCTGGCCGGAAATCTTTCGGATTTTTTTCCAATGATTTCCTGCCTGGAAGCACAGGAAGTTGGCCGGAATCCAATCCGAAAAATTTCCGGCCGAAATACTGCTTCCATGTTCCAGGGATTTCCTGGATTTTTCTGCATGAACTGGCCCGTAATTGTTGACCTGAGTGTTTTTCCTAGGATTAATCCATTACTTTTTTTTAAAAGATACTTGCCGTGCGCATAAGAAATGTCATAAATCTGTTCTAGAACAATAACCAAAAGAAAGTTGGATTCTTTCTTATTTTATATTTTCTTGATGATTAAAGTTTATTTGTTTTGATAGTCAACATAAATTTGTCAATTTTAATTCTCAAACGATATAAAACAATGTAGCAAATAGTTAAAATTTCTGAATTAAAGTAAAATTTCCCAATCTCATAGTTTGTCAAACAGTAATCTTGTTATTGTATATAAGAATACAATGATATTCAATACAATGTCTGAAAATAGTTTATTAATCATTAATTCGGATGATATAAATAGAAAAAAAAACTAACATTTTTCTTTCAAAAGCATTATTCATCTTTAAAAGACTAGTATGATCCATATGTATGTTACCACTTAGATCAATGATGAATAGTACGCATCAATACATCTGATATAGGGAACGCCAAATACATCCTCAGTCCCGAAAGATTTACAAATAACGAATAAACAGAGCAAAAAAGAATAATATTAAGTTGAAATAACATATTTAGATTTTTGACTTACATGAGCAAGATAAATATGAATACGACAACTAATGAAATCACTGAGAATCCATGTATTTGTTAAACCCAGAAAAGTCGTAAGTGGAACAGAAATAAGTAAAAATAAAAGATCAGTTATAGCGAGGTTAATAATATAACAATTAGTAACGCACTTATAATTTTGTTTTCGTAGAGCAACAATAAGAACAATTAAGTTACCTATTTATAAATATATAATTAGATTTTCTAATCTGATTACTTAACTTACCAATCACTCCCAAAATACAAATACAAGCAAGACCAACTGCCATTATAATTCTTGATAATGGATTAAAAACATTTTCACCATTATGTATTGTTTGATTTAATGCCATTTCTTTTATCTAAATGAGAAAGTGAACATGTTTTAATGATTGTATTTTATGTCATGTCTTTGTGTCTCATTCAAATATAAAATGATGAAAAGCAAAAATGTAAAAAGAAGAAAAAATTTGATACATAACATGTTGTATCAAAAATTTCATTGGTAGAAAAGTTTTGACTTACTATCGTCTTGTTTGAATTCCTTGTTGGAATATAGTTTTCATACAAGAAAAGATTATTAACCCTTTCGAGTCGATGGGTCCCACTGGTGGGATCCGCTATGTTTTAACAAGATAATGACTAGAAAAACACTTTCTTTTCTGTTTTATCTATAATGTATCATCTGTTATGTCTCTGCAATTTTTTGAATTATTTATTGCATAGCCTGATGTTTCTCATTGAAACAATCAAGACAATAAAATTTGTCACAGTCAGAACAGAAAGCTTTTATTTTCTTTGCTGTCGCATTACTTGCTTCTATTGATTGTTGTTGTCTGATTTTCTCATAGCAGCCAGCATAGCATTAATGCCTATTCGTTTACACGGAAAATTATGACAGAAACCACATGACCATGCTACAATTTTGTGAAAGTCTTTTTCGATCTTTACTGCTTGGTACACCATTCGAGAAGCTGAAATTTGGTCCGAAGCAACAATCAACAAGCCAAACGAAGCACAAACTCACTGATCACAAGTTCGAAGAAAAGGAAGGGTTGGACTACGATGTCCAAAGACGCTGTGCTAACTGCTACGAGAAAATCAGACAACAGCAATCAAGAGAAGCAAGTAATGAGATAGAAAAGAAAATAAAAACCTTCTGCTCTGATTGTGACAAATTTTATTTTCTTGGTTGTTTCAACGAGAAACATCAGGCTATGCAGCAAATAATTCAAACAGTAGCAAAAAGAGCAGATAATGCAGTAAACATAACCTTCTGCCTAAGGAAAAAGAAAGTGTTTTTCTAGTCATTTTCCTGTTAAAACACGGCGAATCCCACCAGTGGGATACATCGACTCAAAAGGGTTAGATTAGAAATTTATAATAGTTCTAAATACAATAGAAACAATAATATTTATACAATCTTACTATTATCGTCAATATTTCTTTGATGTCATGCGAAACAGAAAGCAATTAGTTTGAGACTTCTTTTGTAGACACAATAAAACGACGTCATTCACATCAAAATCCATTAGAATGACTTTAACATAAATGTTTTTCTATATAATTCTATTTTTATTCGATAAAGAAATTAGAGAATCAGAGAAGACATAGAACTATTTGTAATTTTATTTTTAATGGACTCAGTTTCTCCAACTAGAAAATTGGTTATGACGACCTTACTGTTCTTTTCATTTAGCAGACTTCATACAAATGCAACACATAAAATGTCCTGCATCATAAACAAAAAAATATATTCTTTTTATTCGTCGTAATTGTCTATTACTCTTGATATTCGCTCCAATGAAAACAACTCACAAACTGAAAAAATTAACTTTTGTAATTGCTATATAAATAGAAAAAAAACAAACTTCTATTACTTAGTTAATTTAGTTATTGCGATTGGACGAGAAGAAAAAAAATGAGATGATCTGTTTTCATCTTCATAGTCATGCCAACAATTTTTTATAATGAAGAATAATTGATTAGACTTAAATAATCTTACCTGTCGATTTAGAATGAAGATTAAAAAGTTACAAGTGAAATAACGACATTTCTATTTTGAAAGATGCAAAAAGAATCATCTATTTATATACAGGATTTTCTTCTGCTTAAAATGCAATTCATTAAATCATATTCTTTGCAATGATATATTCTTCTCACATGACTAATAGAATGCATCAAACAAAAAAATTTCTTTATTATTATGCGGCAGTCCTTTGAGCCCGGGCAGACAACAAAACGGCGTTTAAACGTCTCAACATCTCAACTGTTTAAACAGTGTCATTAGTCGCCAAAAACGCGTTAAAACGGTTTATGAAAAATTATCTTTTAACACGTTTTACATGTTTAAACGCTTGGAGTCATTGAAATTGTAACTGTTTTAACGCGTTTTTGGCGACTAATGACATTGTTTAAACAGTTGAAATAATTTCCGTTGTCACGCCTCTTAATGATCAACAAACGTTTCATCCAAACGATGAAGCATCAATAATTTATAACTAAAGTCTCTTCCCATTGATAAACTGATCGATTATATTTAAATTATCATTAGATTAATGTTAAATTGACATATGTTTATAGTTTGTACTTTGAAAACAGTACAGAAAATTTCTCTCTCGTCAGTTCGTTACTTTTTATGTTAAGAGTAAGTTTACATTTTACTATTTACTTGTTGGTATTTTTTTCTTTTTGTTTTTTTCAATAGTGGAAAAAAAGATAAAATACGTAGGTTTAATAGAACAACATTAACGTCTTGCCATTCCATTCCACTACTAGTAAAAACAAAAAGAAAAAAATACCAACAAATAGTAAAATATAAACTTACTCTTAGCATAAAAAGAAACGAACTGATGAGAGAGAAATTCTCTGCACTGTTTTCAAAGTATAAACGATAAACATATGTCAATTTAACATTAATCTAATGATAATTTAAATATAATCGATCAGTTTATCAACGAGAAGAAAACTGAATTATTTACATTCATGTTTCAAATAAGTGATGGATGAGATAGACTGATAAATAGATTTTAAATACTACGACTAACACAGGAATTGATGAAAAGGCAAAGCACGGACTATCTAACCAACTTCTAATATAAGGAAAACTACAATCGGAACTACTATGGTAGACAGATGTTCTTTTAAAGTATCATTAATAAATTTAACTTCATTTTGATCAAATTCTAAAGTATCAAAGTTTGGAGATATGATATAACTAGAAATGTCATCAATGCACTACGAAATCTCATAATTACAGTGTGTATTAAGTCGGTCACGAAATTGATTAAGCCATACCTATGCACCAGAATGCTATCTGTTTTTTCCTATAGTGACGATATTTCTTTTAAAGCTCATTCATATTTCGACGACTTAAGCTTCCCTTTTCATCGAGTAGAAAACTCAACTGCTTCAAACGTCTTATATGTCACACGTACTCGTGATGAACATTCTATATGAAACATTTCAAGTGAGGAATATTTAATGGACTCTACTATGTTTATCGTCTGCGAGCGACTCTTCTAATTGTATTATCATCGGTATCGTACATATTATGTCTAAGTCAACACTAACCTAGTGAATATTGAAGTATTTTTCACAGAAACTCACTATTAATAGCAATGTAGTAAGTACCCTATTCTTTCTCTCATTCTGAGTGATTTCCACAGAAAAGAACTTACCTAATTTGAACATATCCAGTCTTACACAAAAGAAGCATGTCCCATTATATATAGTGAATTTAACATTAATTTTAAGTATACGTTAGAAATAAAATGGCCTACTCAGTTAGGCAAGTACTCTGTGAACGAAACAGAACACAAATGAATTCCAAATGAAAAGAACAGACGAATAATCGGATGAGAGAGTAATAAAAGAATGACCTCTTTTTTCCTTTCTCTGTAAACTGGACGGACGGAAAGAAAAGACAGAATGGAAAAAATTTCTTGAAGATGTGAACTGATGATAACTCTGTTTTTATGTGACGATGATAACTAGATGAAATATAAAATAGTCAAGTTTTGAAATTTTTATTGAAACAGCTAAACTCTAAGTCATTTTTTAATTATAACCTATATGAGAACAGGATAAATTGTTTATTTTGGTTGAACATGATTGTTGCTCATACGTACTTGCACTTTTAAAAGATAAATAGAGAAGATTATGATTATCATATAATCCGAGAAGGAAGGAATCGCTTATGTTGTTAGTATGATATATTAACATGTAGTAACATTAATGATGATTTCCTTCTTCTATTTAGTTTTTGAACGTTAACAATATTTGTCTGCACTTATTTAATTCTCAAAATACAACTGAGCTATAACTGACCTTCTTTAATGCGCAGTAAAATAATACAATGTTGATTAAGATGATGTGATAATGTTCATTGAACAAATTAGTAACGTTAGTTGTCCATATGCTGATTATTAAAGATATTCAATATGAGATGTGCTGCACGCCTATTTCTGTTAAGCAAATCAGTTTATGGCAGTTACTCTACAGCAAATCAAAGATAAACTTTGTTACATTCTCATCAGATATTAACACCGAACAATATTTGTCTTAACAATTTTCAATTAAGAGTGAAATATTGCTGAGTGGATATACTGACAATATATCAATAAAGAATATGTAAACTCACTAGGCGAAGTATTTTCAGTAAGATTGTTATACTGCTATCGATTTTGACTTCGACTTAATGGCAATAAAAAAGTTTACTTGGTTTAAAATTCCTACTCACTATTCATAAATATCGGACCTGATCTTTTGCTATTTATTAGTAAAAGATACATATTCTAACCATCACTTGCCTGTTACTAATAAACAACAAGCCGTAAAACTTACTACTTACTAGAAAGTAACCAGACTGATTACTCACTATGTTGTGTTACGTGATTTAGATACATTCAACCAGGTATAATTGTCACAGAATAGTTAAATTAAAAATTTACTACTCATTAGTAACAGATTAGTAGCGCAGACTATCACCTACTAACAACTAGTTAGTAACGACGTACATTACTTACTGCCAGCATAATAACAAAATTTTTGTAGTTTTGTTTTTTTTTTTGGTAATCGGAGCAAAACGAAAAAATACTGTTAAAACGGTTTTTTTTCGAAAAAAACGCGAAATTGGGGCGTTTTTAACGGTTTTGTCAAATTTAGTTGAAAATAAACTGTAAAAACGATTTAAAAGTGAAAAATTCAGTAGTAAACGCGTTTAAACGAGTTAAAACGGTGTAAACGCTTTTTTAACGCGTTAAAACGCCTTTCTGGCCGTTTATTGTCTGCCTGGGAGACGTCAGTTTTGCATGGAAAAATAAATATATTTTTGTGCCATGTGTTCATAAACGATAATGGAATTTTTCAACTATTAACTATGAACGTTATACGGATACTTAAAAATTTGATTGGTTTGAACAAAAAATATAAAAAACGTTTTTGAAAATAACATCATTGTCGTCTAGGTTCTTGTAAACAGAATATTAGTCCTAAACAATGTAATTGATTCGTGTTACTTTCAATCTAGGTTCATAATTCGTAATTATTATCTAGAATAATTTTATAATCAACACGATCTATCATCATCTGTTCATACACGGATAGAGTTTGTTACTCGACCTTAAAGAAATATTAGTCTATAATTAAAACCAACACGATCGTTAATGTGTAACATGACAACCATCAGTCCTGAATGTACCAGATAGACGTGTAAAAACCTTTGAGTGCTCAACTGAAAAAGTTGTGTAAGAGATAGTAACAAAAATTTATTTCTAAATAAATACGAATCAGTTGAAAAATAGATGTTACATGTTTACGAAACAAGATTATGTGTTCACAAACAATTTCTAGTTTTTTTTTTTTGTTTAATGAAACTCGCATTATAATATGTTTTGATTGCTTATATAGTTAGTTTTCACAACAGAAAATGGCATAATTCAGATAAAACTCAACAAATTCTATTAAATATAACTGTTTGGAATATACTTACTTTGATTTAAATTTTGCATCCGTTTTCTAGAATATTGTATTAGAAAATTTCATTAGTATACAAAATTCATGGTGATTTTTGATTATACATAAATGAGAAATACCGAAAAATTTATTATAACACATAATTATACGAATTTTTTATGAATAAAATTTGCAAGAAGATCAATCTTCTCATGTTAAATTATTCAAATCGATGTATGTTTTGCAATATAAGAAAAAGACTGTTTTATCCAGAATTTTATTATTAATATGATTTTGTGTGTTATTACAACTTATTTTAATAGTATATTACGTTTAGTTTATATATATTACACAGCAACAAACTTTGAGATATGAAACTTTCAAAACATAAACCGTTTTCCTTAGATAGCGTATTCAACATGTATTTTTTTTTATAGAAACTAGTCAAGTTGAGTTCTCTATTTACACAAAGTTTCAGATCAATATTCGAAAGTACAAGTTTTCTAAAAATCTGAAGCTTCGAGAAAATAGACATATTAAAAAATCGATAGCTCAATTTAGACAAATATCAATAGGAACTCAAATCGTTAAAGGCAACAAAATCATTAAAATCGGAAGGAGACAGTTGAAGAAGTTCTCTCATCAGTCAAAATCGATAAGAACAGGATATTTCGATTTTGATACAAATATTTTAAGACATAGCGTATAATGAATATGATACAAATATTTTGACTATATTCCACATGAGAAGATTAATATAATCAATGATCTTAACAAAAATCATAGTGTTAATTTATCAAACTGGCTATAAACATAAGACATTATTAGAATTCATCCTCATCATTTGAATGAAAAGCAATGTTATTTCTAATTTGTTGACATCCATTCCAAAGAAAACTTGCCTTGATGAAAAAAAGTGACTAACGAGAGAAGGTCTCCAAGTGTGACGCATCGTTTTCAATCAGATCTACATTAGTTTGTAGAGCTTGATGAGACTACACAAATTCTAAAAAGGATCCGTCTTCATCATACGTTGTCTTTCTCGAGTTATGACATTAATACTGGATTTTTGACCTGTAGCAAAGCATATATGGGAAAATTGAATTATGGGATTTTTTTATCTGAAAGTTTGCTCATATAAAGATCTAGTGATCCTTAGAATGTTATAAAAATTTTAGCTGAAAAGAATGTTTTCTTCTTGAGATATCGGATGTTGAAGACACTAGCGTTTCTGACCTTTCTTTGCGATATATGATCGTGTTTTTTTTTATACCCAGTTTCTCAAGAAGAAAACATTCTTTTGACTTGAAATTTTTAGAATATGCTAAGGACTACGAGACCTATCTATGAACAAAATCTCGTAATTCCATTTTTCCATATATGCTTTCCCAGATGTCAAAAATCCAGTAAAAGGGTCATAACTCGAGAAGAACAGCATATAAGAACGAACCATTTTAGGCTTCATCGAGCTCTATAGACTGGTATAGATTCGATTGAAAACGAAAACTTTCCCTCGTAAGACTGAATTATGTTACAACTTGCATTTTATATTTGATTATGTTTAATTTCTAAGCATAAGAGAAATGATATTCTTTAAAAACTATACATTATTTTGTGAAGATTTTTCAAGTGCAGCATTTTAATACATTGAAGATACTAACAGTGTTCCAGTATATCAGATAGATTTCTCTTTTTTTTTTAAATCTGAACTATTCAAATTTAGAATTTATGTTCAGAATATCTGTTTGTTTCGTAGTGTCTATCATATGTAGTGTAAATAGTATTATTTGTAGAACGATTGAAACGTATTCCGAAATAACTCTTTACATTTCTTTTTTATTTTAGAAGAAATATATTGTTGTAGTCATTGAATATGTCCGAACAGTTATTTACTTTTTTCCTTTGTCTTAATTGATGGTATATTTAACTCTGAAAAACTTTTTATTAGTTGTAGTCTACAATAACAAAATGATTTATAAAACTTATTAAAACAGTAAGATGTTAAACGAGAAATAATAATAATAGAATAATCTTGAATGTGTTTTATAATCATTCTTATAATATGATAGATAGACTAATCTTGAAATGATTTCGATTGTAAGTAAAGTACATTAATCGATCAATTCATTGATTTTTCATTATGAATGTAAAATTTTTCCGAGAAAATACTTTCAAATGATTTAATCATCATTTATACTTAAAACTAAAAACTATTTGTCGTCATTGTCACTCGATTATTATAAAAAAAAATTTTGAAAATTATACTTGTCGAAAAAATAATTTCCTTTTTTTCCGGTACGAAGAGTAACTTGTCACTCAACTAATCATATAGAATTTTCTATAGGATTGAAGAACAAGCTAATCAATTCTTAAATACAATAATAAAACTGAGAATAGTTCTTATAAAAATTTGATCATCTATTTTTAGATTCATTTCTAATCTATAGAAAACATAAAAAAAAGAAAATAAACCAATAGTTTAATATCTTTCTTATTGAATTTACAAATAAATGATTGTCATCCATCATATATTTCATTCTCTGCTTTTTAAATCCCAATTGACACTTTTTTTTTTTCTTAATCAAAATTCATCTATCGTATTTTCAAGAATATCTTTATCAACAACAAAAAAGAAAACCTAATATTTGATCAAATAGATTAAGCTAAGATAATTGACAAAGATTCAATATATAATTTTGATTTAAAACCATTTGTGTCATTATCAATTAATAGATTTTTTTGATTATATTCAATAGCATTTAATTATCAATAGAAATCATATTTCATCATCTAAAAACTTAATGTTTTTTGTCAATCTTACTCGATTATTAAAGCAAACGGATGTAAAAAAAAAAAAGGGCCAGCATTGACTCTTGTTTTTTTTCATTGTGTTTTTTTTTTCTTCGTTCATCGTGCCTATGTGGAAATGAGTACTCAGTTGATTCTATTCTTTTTCTTATTGACGTTAGTAAGTACGACGGATAAGAAACAGAAAAGAGTCTAGTTTCTAACTAAGTTTAGTTTACTATCCGTAATCTTATTATTTTTTTTCTTTTTGTATATTCAGGTAAAGAAATTTGTGATATTATTATGTTGAAATATGTTTCTATCTAAATGAGCTGTCATATAATTGAATTTGTATACGTTTAAGCTTGTGTTATAGCACGTTGAACAAAAACATTGAATGATGATAATCGTATATGTGAATAAAGACGGAAGCTTTGATTTACCGCATACATCGGAAGAAAAAGAAGAATGAACTTTCGACAAGGCAATGTAAAGAGTTTTTTTTACCGACAAACGGGGCCAGAAAGAGAGAAAGAGAGAAAGGAAAAACTGCTAACGAGACGCAAAAGCGAGGAATGTAATCATCAACCTCTCTCACAACACACTTGTTTCCTTCTCTCTTTCCTCTCGGCAAATAGGGCGATGGTGGTGGGTGACATTTCGGTTGGATTGAGAGTACAACATACACACACACACATCTCATCATCTGTTCGGATGAAACGTGTATGTATATACAAATATACACACATACACGCATACATTTATCATGACAATCGATATATTTATACATCATATAGTTATATTCCTTTTCGTGAGTAGATTTAACAAAAAATCTACTCATTATTTTAGATAGTTATGATATTTCATAGAATTATTTCGATAAAGATTTTCTTTATTTCTCTTAAGTCAATATTATTTTTATTCTAAAATAAAATAGATTTCTTTGATAAGAAAAATGATTAAATTTTGATGTTTTGACACGTTTCTGATAAAACAAATCGATTTAATTAATTAAATTTCTTATATTGTGTTTTTTTTCTTCTTCTTCTTCTTCTTCTCTTTTTTATTCTTAAAAGATTGTACTAAGTCATGACGACAATAGAGTGTTCAACAATAAATAATGAAACTTTAGCTCATCTTATTATTATAAATCAAATGACTGCAACAACTGGATGTACATATGAACAAGCAAAACAATTATTAATTTCAACTGATTATAGACTAGAGGTTAGATTTTATTTTTATTTGAAAATAAAATTAAAAAAAAAAAAAAAACAAAAGATTTTTGTTTTGTTTTTCCTAGGCAGCAATAAATTTATTTTTCGATGAACGAACAATGCCAATTCCTTGTTGCAAATTTTCAGAAGTAATTATTTAATATTTTATATATATTTTATATGAAATTATTTAATTTAAATAAAGTTAATTACACCAGCAAATACTCCAGCAACACCACCAAATTTTCCTGAAACTCTTCTTTCATTTAATAAATTATCAACATCATCAGGAACATCATCATCGTCATCATCAACATCGACAACAACAACAACAACAATTGTATCAAATGATAATCAAATTTCTTCAACAACAACAAATCATTCATTATCATCATCACCAATGAATATGACAATGATGATGATGGATGGAACTGCTTAAAATAATAATCAAATCTTTCAATTCTTTCGTCTCATTTTTCTTTTTCTTTCTTTTCTTCTTCAATATTTATTTTAATAAGAAATATTTCAATCTAGAAAATAAATTTTGGGATAGAACGGGCGTTTTATTTCGTAACATGTCTTATTTTTTAATATATATGAAATTATCTCACATGTTGATAGAAGTTCTACAAGCTATATAATGAAAGAAAAAGAAAACATCAAAGGAAGTTTATGCTTTTAAATCATCAAGATATGGCATTGATTTAAGATTTCCAATAGAGGCTACTGTTGGTGGTTTTCCAGTTAAAATTTTCTTTGCTAATTGATTTATTGAATCATTTGTATAATCACCTTGTTCTAATTGTGCAAGAATTGATTGAACATCAGTTGAACGATCACTAACATCTGGTTGAATTAACATTTTTGAAAAAACATCCGAAGATTGTTCAGCTGTCATTTGAAGATTTACTTGAAGTTTCTTTCTACAAAACAACAAAAAAAAAACAAACAAACCAATGAACATTATACATTCATTTTATATTTAAACTGACTTAGCAAGATTAAAGTCTTCTTTATTAATACCATTTTTCAAAACTTTACTAAATTCATTCCAAACGGCTTTGACAACCTTATTTGTATCATTTTTATTACACATGATATGAACACCAAATAAACCTGATTCAGTATAATGAAGATTAAACGATGAAACCTATAAAGAAAACGAAAAAAAAGGTAGAATAAAAATAGTAAATTAAAAAAAAAAACTAACTAAACAAGGTGCATCAGCAACAGCTTGTGCTGCACGTTGAAGTCGATTCGATCCAGCTGACCATTTTATATTCGGACCTTTACCCATAACTTCATTTAATAATGAACTTGTTAAAACACCTTTTTCATCTTTTGAACTAAAAATAACTTTTAATTAATAGGAAATTTGATATTTTCTTTTTTGTTATAAAATACCTCACGCCTTCACATGCTAATGCAATATGAACTAAACTTGATTGAGTATCACGTCGAAGTTCTCCTATAATAAATATTCTAATTATAAAAAAGAAAAATCTGACAAAAACAAATAAATAAAACAAACCTCCTTTATATTTTGATGGTTCAGGTTCTGAATCAATTAATTTAAGGTTTCCAAAACCTGGTGTATAAACACAATCAAGTGGCGAAAAACGAAATTTATCCGCTATTTGAACAAGTGTTTGATGATTACAACCAGTACCAACTAAAGATATTCGATCCGGTGTATAATAATGCGAATGAAATGAATACATCTATTAACAGATATATATATTTTTTTTTTGTAATTTGAAATTAGAATATAAACAATCTTTTACTTGTTTATGTGATAATTTTTTCATCATTTCAGGACTAACTGATAATGCTCGACTTAAACCACCTTTGAATGCTGCGTTATGAAGTAAATCATTTAATTCTAAAGAGATTTATTTAAGAAAATAATAAAAAATAGAAACAAAATTTTAAAGAAAAGAATATAATATACGTAATTCAGGTGCCTGTAAATAAAGATCATGATCAAGTTCTAATCGTTCATGTTCATCATTAACTTCATGGGGTTTAAACATTGGATAACAAACGATAGGAACCAAAAATTGAGCTCCATGTGTTCTATTTGTTAATGAAAAAAAAAAAAATTAAAAATGAATGTTTTCTTGTTTTTGTTAATAAAGAATTAAATACATACAATTCACTTCGAAGACCTTCAATTGAATAAATCATTTGTTCTCGTGTTTGTATACACCTATTTATTGATAAAAAAATTTTGTGTTTCTTCAAAAAAAAATTTATTTTTCTATTTACTTGAAGTTTGCGCCTAAACGTTCCAAATTCTTTGTTAAACCGACTTGACTGACATACTTCGTGCTCTAAATAATCAATGAAAAACAAAGATTGTTTTACCTTAAGTAGAACTTTATGAGGAAATTGCTTTTTAAAAAAATCAATTCAGATTAGGCATCGAAATGGGCCGCTTAGCCCGACGATTTTATCCTTTTTTGACATAACTTTTTCTGAGATTTGGCTCACCCTTGACGGAAGCTTCTCCATGCTACTCCCTTGGTCATCATTTTTTATAAAAGCCGAAAAATCTGGAATAGCTGTTTAATGAGAAAAAAAATCTTTGTAATCGAAGTTTCTTACGGACTCGGGGCAGACCTAAACAATGTTCGAACCATAAAAAAGTGGCTCGATTTCAAGGTCTGATTCAGATAAACTCATAACAATTCACAAGAACAATATTGAAAATATTAGATATTTTAGAAGATAAAACTCAAACAGGTATTACGATTTTATATTAAGTTCAAGTTGATTGAAAAATAAATAAATAGTGTTATCTTGCGGAATATATGACATATTTCTACGAAACACATCAATGACAAAGTTCTACTTCAAGGTTCGCTGCAATGACTTTTTTGGAAAATTGTTAGCGTCATATAAAGTCTAGCATCATATTTCAACTATTGAAGATAGAGGATGCAACGTCACAATTGTCATTGATTCATCGGTCTAGACAAACTACAGTAGATTAACAGATAAATTTTAAATCAAAAAATTTAATTTTCTTAGCAAACCAAATTTTCTAATGTTCTTCAATAGAATTTTATCTGGATAAGGTTAGTTACATGACCAAGTAGCTCGAGAGGAAAACAACAGACTTCTTAAGATCTCTCATAAGGCTTCACCGCACTTCAGAATCCTGCAGAGTTATGGTAGAATTAGAGTGTTGTTCATATTGTTAAGAGTTTTTTAGCAAGCGACTGCGAACACACATCCTGATATCGTCCTGGTTTAGAAGAACTAGATGATTATGTAAAAACGAATTTAAGTTTTGGTAAAGAAAAATCAGTATTGGAGTAAATAGTCATTGAACTATGCACAATTTAGTGTATTAGAAAAGGCTATTGAAAGAGTTTTGTAAGAAAGACGACAGAATCGAACAGTGACATTGTTAATGACATTTTATTCTAACGAAACTACTTAAATATGCAGCAATTTTATATTTGATTATAAATGAAAATCAATAAAATATGCTGAAACATAATGAAGAAAACTTCATGTTAAAATCTGTTGAAATCTGAAAATCTTAGGATACGAAACAGTCTTACTCTGCTAGACTTCTAGACTGAGGTGTCTGCTGTTTTCCCTTAGTAGCTGATGCAGAGTTACCAATAAGGACGGAAATGGCGGAGGCTTTTATTTTCGTGGAAAATTGTGATAGAAAGAGAATTTTAGCTCTGTTCATGAGTAATATTCATACGAAGACATTTTTCCTTAGATAAAATATCACAGAGAGTTGATGATTTCAACATCTTCTGTTCAGTCTCTGTCGAATTTTCAACCGTTTTCATCCTTGAAAACAATCGAGAATTCTGAGATGATAACGAAAAATTTGTGAACTTGAATTTTTCTCTATGAAAAACATTCTAGGAAGGAAATAACAATGTCATATAAAATTTAATCATCGTTTTGTCGGTAAACCAACCGTAAATTCAAAATCCTTGAGTCTGATAGGAAATCGTTATTTTCACAAAATGGACCTTTCCTGATCGAAAAATAAGACTCATACACTTTCCGTTAACTTTTACCCTGGTGATAAGTAACAGTGCTATTCTTACTAGCGGACGATACATCCACACTGTTCCCATCCCTATGACAGACTACTTAATAAATAGTATGACAAGAGATGTTTTTCTTCTTGTTTTATTACCCTCCATTGCTAGTGATAGGACTTGTATAGATTTCTATAACCCTCTAGATAACTTTTCTTTTTATTTCGAATATCAAACTCATTATGCATATTTTCTATTGTTTCGTTTGAAAAATGCTTTTTTTTCAACTCAATGGCTTGTTGACTAAATGATGAGAAAACTCATTTCTCGACCTTCTTGTAACGTAAAGTCTGTGATTTTTCCATGGGTTCTATATTTTTTGTTCCGTGTGTTTTTCTCTTTTTTAACTATTTTTTCGTTGTAAATGTAGTTACTAACATTGAAATATCCAAAGTTTGGCTCAGAAGTTTTGATATCATAATACCATTCACGATATGAGTATGTGTACCATTTTCTCTAATCATGTTTCATCAATTCTGGATTATTATATAGATCTTCTCTCTTCACAAGTTCGGATTATAATTATAGGTACCATCGGTTTTTTTTAAATTATTTTGATAGACTGTATGAAACTACACTGATGATAAAAACTTCACTTAAGATTTTTGTGATAGGCGTTGCTCGTTAATAAAACTAATTATTTTAACCCTTTCAAGACACATCATGTATATATGCATGATAGTCTTGAATCAACTCGCAACTAACTTTTAATACTGTTTGGGTTAACATTGCTATTTATCTCTATCTATTTTGTTTTTTTTTTTTACAAGCCATTGTGTGAGAGAAACGATTGAATCGATAATGAGCTATGCAATCGAACTTTTTACATCTATTGAAAATATAGTTTATCCTGTTTACTCATGTACTAACCCTACCCATTGAGAAAAATATCAATTTCTTGGAAAATGATTTGTCCTATACGCGATCACATAATTTAAACAGCTCTATTTTATAAAAGCGATCTTTCACTTTGCTAATATAGGCTGATCTTTTTATTGAAAAATTACTTTCTAGAGCTTAGATCTACAAGTTTTGTTGAAAATTTTTTTTCAAGAGAGTACTTTACATTCTCTATTAAATAATGCAAGAAAAAGTTCGGAATTTTAGTCAATTTAATAAAACATCGCTTGTTCAGAAACAGCTGTCGAGTTATGCGAAAAAGACACTTCTGTGACTGTCAATACACTTCGAATTTCGATATTGGAATCTCGTAATGATTGTTTACTAACGAATAGGAAGGTATAAGCGTTAATTCCTTGCACAAACAAAATTTTCCAGTTTGTAGAATCAGTTCATTGTGTTTTGAGTCTCTTTTAAGTGAATTTTCTTTCTGAAGACGAAATATTCAATTTAAAATTACCAAATTCGAGAAAACTCGAAGAAGTGTTGTGACACCACGCATTTCATAAGGTTCATATTTTGCTCCGGCATCAACAACAGCTGCAACACGAAAAAGTGGTGAATGATTTTCCATTGAAGCTACAACCAATCCATTTGGTAATTTTGTTACCTTTTAGAAATATTTATATAATTTTAACATAAATAAAATAAAAATTTTCTCTTACATTAATACTTTCTTTTGGTAAACTAATCCGTTGTGGAACTCCAAATTGACCTGTTTTCGTTTGAGGAACATTTCTTTGATTTACACTTGAAGCAACAGCAGCAGATGACGATGCTCGACGCTTAAAATTAAAATAAAATTTTTATTTACAAAAAAAAAATACTATTAAATTAACTGACTAGAGCATTAAAACTATATTTGCAAGTTGCCATCGACATAAACAATAAAAAAAACGAATAAATAAACGAAGAATATGTCTGTAAGCCATGACCAAATAATTTTGTCCTCGCTCAAGTCACAATATAGTTTTTATTGGTTAATAAAACAAAACCAATGATTATTCTTAGTTTCAGATATGTTTCAGATGTCTGTAAGACATTGTTTCTCTATTCGCTTTGTTCAAATTCTATTTAATAATGAACATCATTTAAGATATTTATCATCTTATAAAAAGAAAATTCCAATGAATAATCAAAAAAAAACCAATCAACCATCAATTGCGTATGTTAGCTTTTTTTTTCTGCTTTTTTTAAAATAAATTTAAATTTATTTATTTATTTAAGTTCATTTTTTGCAAAAAAAGATTCATCAATAATAAAAACACCAAAAAAAGAAACTGAACCACCATCAATTCGTATAGAAAATAAAGAACTAATAAAATCTCCATCATCAGATTCCGATGATAAATCTTTCGTATTTGCTCCAACAAAACGATCAAAAAAACGTGTTTTAAGTTTTGATGATAGTGATCAAGATCAAAAAAGTAATTCATCAACGGAAAATATGAAAGAAACACCAACAAAGATTGTTAAACAAATGAAAATTATTGATACTAAAGTTGAAATAAAAAATGAAAATAATAAAACAATTACTCAAATTGAACAAACAACGACTGTTCCAATTGAACAGCCAACAACTATTACAATTGAACAAAAAAAGTAATTCAACTATTTTTGATAAAAATATTTTCAAAAAAAATCCTTTATAATAGTGTTACTGATCCTCAGTCGTATAATCCCGGTAAAACAAATTATGATCCAATCAATGACGCTTGTTGGAAACTCGATGACAAGTAAATACAAAGTTTCGTTTTATTCATTGAATCAGAGATTTATGAGGATAAGATTAATATCGGATGGTGCAGAATAAATTGCTCTCTTAGTATTTTTTTATTTATTATCCTCTCGATTGAAACACTTAATCAAAAGATAGTGTTTGAAATTCTATACAAAATGGTATAAGTTATTTAATGAATATAACTTCCTCCATTTTTTTTTGACGGAAGGTTCTATTTCATTTATCAATGTTGTCTTTGTTATTACGTGATTACAACAGATAGATTTAGCCAATTCATTCTATAAACTATAATCTAATGAACATAAATCACGCGAATGTGATGGCCAAGGAATCTGCAGAATAAATTCAGAAAAATGATCAGTACGGCATTTTTGACTCCAGTGATTGGTGTGCAGTAGAACCCATCGAATCCGACCGGGTTCGGGTCCAACAAATTTTAATCAGTCGGGTTTGGGTCCAAAAATCCTTCAACCGAATGGGCTCTAGTATGAAGTTTTGCATCATCTTGCTGATATGTTTAGTTGTTGTCGGATTCTAGAGCTACTGGAAGAACGTTATCGATGTATCTTTCTTTGCCGATCGTTCCATCTTCTAAAATCATCAACATTGTCAGTCCTGTCCACATACATTTAACTACACCGTTACCTTTATGGAGAATTTCATCTTTTCATGAACAGCACTGTTCTTGTTCTGTTCAGCCCATGCCTGATCATTCTCAGCATTGTAGTTAGCAGATAGATTGAACTGGATGAAGCCATCTATAGGGATCACGTAACCACAAAAACAACATTGATAGACGAAATAAAGCCTTCCGTCAAAAAAAAATGCATGACACTATATACATTACATAAATTGTGCTATTTTCTATGGAATTTCAAGCGCTATCTTTTAATTTAAAAAATATTTCAATCAAAGGGATACTAAAGGAAAAAAAAATACTAAGAGAGAAATTTATTCTACACTAGAGCTCATCGGGTCCAAGAATGATTGATTAATCTTTTGTGGGAAGTGCCTATCAGATCCAAGTCGGATCCGATGGGTTCTATTCTGTACTATCCGATACTTATTCTATGATAAAAAAAGAAAAGATTATAATATAAAATTCATCTTTGATTCTCTGATTCAGTACATGAATAAAAGAAGTTCTTAAATTTTCTATTTTTATTTTTTAGCGTTCCATATAGTGCATTATCATCAACATTATTATTAATTGAAGAAACATCAGCTCGTTTAGAAATAATTCGTATATTATCAAATTTTTTTCGTTCAGTTCTTAGTTTATCATCAAATGATTTAGTTCATTGCGTTTATTTATGTGTTAATAAATTAGCACCAGAATATGAAGGAATTGAATTAGGTATTGGTGAAACAATAATTATGAAAGCTATTGCTGATAGTACTGGACGTACTGTTGAACAATTAAAATCAGATTATAAATCTAAAGGAGATTTAGGTCTTGTTGCTGAGGTTATTTGAAACTTAATTGAAAATAAAACAAAAAAAGAAAATTCGAAATTATTTTTCAGGCATCTCGTTCAACACAACGTACAATGTTTAAACCAAAACCATTAACTGTTTCATTTGTTTATAAAAAATTAAAAGAAATTGCACAATTAACAGGAAATAAAGTAAAAAATTTTCTTTTTTAAATTAATTCAAAAAAAAAACTAAAAGAATAAATTTTCCTTTAAAGAGTCAACAACGTAAAACTGATATAATTAAAAGTCTTTTAGTTTCTTGTCAATCTCATGAAAGTCGTTATCTTGCTCGATCATTAATTGGTAAACTTCGTATTGGTTTAGCTGAACAATCGATGCTTGTTGCATTATCACATGCATGTGTTCGTAATCAATATTCGAATTTAAAAGAAACAGCATTAAAAGAACGTCTTGATAATGGTACACTTGCTATTAAAGATGCTTTTTGTCAATGTCCATCATATGATATACTTGTTGATGCACTTGTTAATAAAGGTGGAATTGAAAAATTAAAAGATTTATGTAAAGCAACACCTGGTATACCAATGAAACCAATGTTAGCACATCCATCAAAAGGTATTGATGAAGTATTAAAGCGTTGTGGACAAAGTGAATTTGCTTGTGAATATAAATATGATGGAGAACGTGCACAAGTAAGAAAGAAAAAAACCAAAGGTTTTTTATTTGAAAGAAAATGTTTTTTTTTTGATTTTTAGATTCATTTAACTGAAGATAGAAAAATTTATATTTATTCAAGAAATTCAGAAAATAATACATCAAAATATCCCGATATTATTGAACGAATTCATAATGCATTTCAACCTCATGTTAAATCTTTAATTTTGGATGGTGAATGTGTTGCTTATGATATTGAACAAAAAAAATTATTACCTTTTCAAACATTATCAACAAGAAAACGAAAAGTAATTTTATTATCTTCGAATAAGATATTTTTTGAAAAACTTTTGTAATCCAAACAAGAAAATTGTTGTTAGAATTATTCCTTTTCAATTAAAATGTAAAAAATTGTTTAACAGAATCGATTCAACAAACAAAGTTCAATGAATAGTTTTCACTTACGTCC